CTTTTCCACCCTCAGACTGATCTTCAATGAATTGTTTTCAACAACGTCTGTCATCGTGCTCTTAAACGTTTATACAACAAGCCCAGAGGAAAATGTTTTTTCCAGATCAGGTTTAGACATGATTTCTTTTCAGAAACAGGAAAGTGCGCCTCTCAGTGTTGTTGTTTGCTGTCTTTGTTGTTTGTGGAAATTGTTGTTGTTGTTGTTGTTGTTGTTGTTGTTGTTGTTGTTGTTGTTGTTGTTGCTACTGTTGCTGATCATACAGCTGCTGTTGTTCTTGCGCTGGTTGTTTTGGTTCCTGTTGTTGCATATCTTATTTTTTTCCCCTTTTTTTTTCTAATTGCTGTAAAATACATAATACAAATATAATATGATCTTCTTTTTGTCAACATGTATAAGCTTTGGCTCTTTGCAAGATACCGAACCTGTCAGTTCAAAGACTTAAAGCCACACAAAAAACACACGCAACAAACCCTTCTGAAAAGAAAAGAACAAAACAAAACAAAACAAAACCCCGCTTACTTCGCGCAAACAAAAACCCTCTAGTTTCCGCAAGAAAGCAAAACAAAACCGTAACCCTATCATAACACACGGCGAAGCAAGCGGGAATGTAAGGGTTAACACCTGAAGACGTTGACAAGTCACAACAGGGAGGGAAATGCGGGTAGCTCTCGTCTCTTACCGCGTCTTTTACGCGCCTAGGTGTAAGCGGATACAGTATCTTTCGCGGTCTGATTCGGGTGGTGACGGGCCCCATGGGTGCTTGGGATACCCGGCTCTGCGGGGGTAGAGAATTACTACAGACTTTTGAATGGAAAAACATAGTATATGCAAATCTGTAGAAAAGCTTAAATTGAAATAAAATTTGATTTAATTTTACGTGAAAATGTCAACATTTCGATACCTCGAGATCATCAGAATTATAAAGTTCTATCTGCTCAGTACCTACTTTTTAGAAATTTGATGTTAACAATTTTGAATTTCACAAGATGTCAAGCTTTTTCATATTGCAATTCTTTGAATATCTTGACAACGACTCCGAATAATCTTACGGTGCTGATAGAGCAGATATGACATTTGGTTTCTGACCTCATGGTCGTATAAGTAACTCAAAAAGGTCCAAAATGTCAGATAGAGCTTTGTAATTCTAAGGTAGCGATCTGTCCATCTTAGTTTGGAACCGATGTTATTGGGCCTCTGAAAAAAACCCTGAACATTTAAAGAAGAGACAGGGTGAGAAATGAGACAATCAGAGAGCCAGTTGTACTAACTCCCTGCTTACAACACACAGATAAACAATGTGCATTGTATTAAGTAGTTTAGGTACTGCCAAGACTACCACCAGAGCAAACAACCAGAAGCCAGACGACAACAGAGGAAGGGAAAAGACGGATAGAGGTGGTCAGAGAAACATTAGTCAAAAACATGAGGTTCAACAAGCAAGAACAAGACGTTTGCTCCTCTCCTGTCTCAGCACCACAAGGTAAGATAGGCCGGAAAAAAGTAAAAAGTAAGTAAGGAATGAGAGTAACAATTTAGGCAGTAGTTGTCTGTTTTTCCCAATTTATGATAATATCTGATTTTGTCAGATGCTAGGTTTTTTTTCCATTTCAAACGGTAGAATAGAAGAGAAGATACTACAAGGAACAATACACAGAGCTCTGAGAGGACGGAACGTGGCCAAAACCTGATCTGTTGTTTATTGTAGCGGAAGGCCAACAGGGGCTTTGTTGTGAGGGAAATATACTTTTCAAGGATCACCTTCCATCTGAACCTCCTCGGCCTCCTTTGCTGTGTGCCTTAATTACTCTGTGTGTTATAGTGTAGTATGTCTGTGTCGATGCCTCTGACTTCATAACTGATTGCCTTTTGCTACACCTCTCAGTCTCTGTCCCTGACTATCTATCTATCTATCTATCTATCTATCTATCTATCTATCTATCTATCTATCTATCTCTTAGCTTAACAGTCTGCCTGACTCTCTACCTACTTATTCCTCTTCCCACCTACCTACCCACCTACCTCTCTACTTACCTACCTACCTGCCTACCTATCTTTCTACTTACCTCTCTGACTACCTCTCTGCCTGCCTACCTACCTGCCTGCCTACCTATCCTTCTACCTACCTCTCTGACTACTTCTCTACCTGCCTACCAACCTGCCTAACTTCCTACTTCTCAACCTACTGCTCTACCAACCTACCTCCCTACCTACCTTTATACCAACCCACTTAACCATCTAACTTCCCATCTACCTATTTTTCTTTCAATCTATTATCAATCTGCGTCTAAATAGACCAAAAGAATACCTTAAAATTAAGGACCCGATCGGAGACGGACGCTAAATTCGGAGGTACCGCCGATCTTTTATATAAGCAAATAGAGTTAACCCATACACTATAAATTCACAAACATTTCATTGTTTCGGGTGTTCTATTTTTCGTCTTGTTTGTTTATTTGTTCATTTTTATGCCTGTTTGTTTGTTTTTGAGGGTGTTGTATTGTTGTGATAAAGATGACAGAAGGCCCAGAGAATGGTTCTACGGCAAAGTAGGGCTGGGCAATGAGTCGCTTTAGCAAAATCCGGATAATAAGTTAGTGCACCTCTTCGGCAAATAATATGACATGAACCGCTTCGGCAAAAGGGTTAGAACCACTTCGACAAACGGGTTAGAACCACTTCGACAAACGGGTTAGCATCACTTCAAAAAATGAGTGCACCCACTTCGGCAAACGGGTCAGGAAAGAGAGTTAAGAGTCTGAATTCGGATAATGTTTCATTGAGAATTATCCGGTTATCCTTATAGATTATCCGGATTTTGCCCACCTCTAAGGCAAAGATCCAAAGTCCAAAAGAAACTCCGAGTGGAATTTACAAACAGTCGCTCGTTGTTAGATGGGAGATGATAACAATGTAACCACGATAGCGGCCCTGTAACCTACACCATTAACAACAAACGTGGGCTTATCTCTCTCTCTCTCTCTCTCTCTCTCTCTCTCTCTCTCTCTCTCTCTCTCTCTTTCTTACAGAAAAGTTGACCATCACCTTGAGAAACGTCTGTCGCTTGTGTTTACTGTAATCTACCACATTGTTCCCGGGGCCCAGGGCGTCTTTGACCGCCGTCCAGCCGTACAAAAAGGACTTGGGTGTAGGGATCATGTTGAACGGCACAGGTAGTGTACTGCCGTCGTCCATGTAGTTGAGCCAAAGCTTTGTGCGAGCGAACTTCCACTCCACGTCGCAGTCCGTCTGTTGGGAGAAAAAAGGACACTCACCTTTAATGATCCCTTGAAGACCTGACAACAACACCAAGATTATTACATTTCGAGACAATGAACAAAAAACCTCATTTGTGAAATAAGTACAAGTGAGTTTCGAATAGAGGATAAACATTCATTTTTAGTTGTATCTGTAACAGACAAATTTAGATGATTACGAGAAACCGAGCAAAAACCTGATTCCATGAAATAAATACAAGTGAGTTCCGATTAAAGGGCTTAAATATGTTTTTTTTCTTCTGGCCTTGACCTTGTTGTTGTATTTAGGCTTCGCATCTTTGAAAAAGAATAACTGGGAGTAGGAAGGGAATAGCGCCTCGTCAGTACTATTAATATTAATAGATACCCCTTTGCCTCCGTTTTCAAATGATATCCAGAGCTCTATTTTTAGGAAAATGTGACTTAACCTTGGTGTTGTTCTCCGGTCTTCAATTATCGGATCAACTTCCATTCTGGCACTATAAGTTTGTTTAAAAATTTGTAACCCAGTTCTGTAACGCCATCAGACCATTGTGGAAGAGGTGCTCGAAGGAAGGATGTGAAGCCGGAGAGTCAGGGGTCAACAAAGAGTAACATGAACGGACAACATTGATTGGTCTGAATACGGCAAAATGTGGAATGGCAGCAATTCAAATAAGCTGGTATTTGTATCAACATTTGCAAAAATGCTCTTTCTTTCTCTCTTCTATCTCGATTCCACACCATCTCTTTCTTCCTATCTATCTATCTATCTATCTATCTATCTATCTATCTATCTATCTATCTATCTATCTATCTATCTATCTATCTATCTTTCTGTCTGTCAATCTATCGATCGATCTGTCTGTCTGTCTGTCTGTCTGTCTGTCTGTCTGTCTGCCTGTCTGTCTGTCTGTCTGTCTACCCATCTCCTCTCTTTTTCTTTCCATATCAGTTCTATTTTGTCCCCTTTGTTTGGTCTCTTTCATACTTTATTTTAGAAAAAAAATTCTATTTCTTTCATTCTGTCTCTTTTATGTCACTTTCTCAGCCCC